CCCGCGGGGTGCGACAAGGGGACCCGATCTCACCCTACTTATTTGTGCTTTGTATCGAAAGATTGGCGCATATGATTAATAATCTTGTTGCTAATGGTACGTGGCGCCCGATAACCGTTGGCGGCCAGGAAGTTCGAATCCCCTTTCTTATGTTCGCCGACGACTTACTATTATTTCTCGAGGCCGAAGATGATCAGGCTCATTTGGTCTCCTCTGTACTTTCGGATTTTTGCTCCATGTCCGGGCTTATAGTAAGTCGAGCAAAGACTGATGTTTTCTTTTCCAAAAACGTCCCACTTGAACATCAACAAACCCTCGCCGATAGCATGGGATTTTCTGTTGTTACGAATCTCGGGAAGTACCTTGGTGTTCATGTCTTACATAGTCGGACTACTAACCACACTTACGAGAATATTCTTGATCAGGCAGATTCGCGGTTAGCCGGCTGGAAAGCCAACTCTCTATCTTTAGCGGGCCGATTAGTTCTTACGCAATCAGTTGTGGGCTCGTTACCGTTCTACACCATGCAGAGGCCCTGGCTACCTAACGCGACGTGCGATGGCCTTGAGAAACGCTGTCGTCAGTTCTTATGGGGTGACACTACCTCCAATCGGAAAATTCACCTTGCTTCGTGGGACATGGTCTGCCAACCTAAAGATCACGGCGGCCTTGGCATCAAACGCCAACGGGAGATGAACTCGGCCTTATTAATGAAACTGGGGTGGACTCTGTTAACCAAGCCCGACATCTTGTGGGTCCGGTTACTGAAGGCTAAATACAGGCTGAATCCCGCTTTGATGGATTCGGATTTTCTGTTTCCGAAGGGGTCGCATACTATCCGTGCAATTAGTAAGGTTTGGCCTTTAATGAAGCGTGGGTTGCGCTGGTCTATAGGCGACGGCACTACGACTCATTTTTGGAGAGACAATTGGACCCACAGCCCACGCCCGCTCATCCATGATGCGCTTGGCTCTGTCCCGGACTACCAGCTTGAATGGAAAGTGTGCGATTTTGTCGACGAAGCGGGGCAATGGAAATGGGACATTCTTACCACTCTCTTGCCGGCCAGTTTGCTGCTACGCATAGCTGCAAGTATGCCACCTACGCGGTCGGCCGGGCCTGATTCTATGTACTGGGGCTTCTCGGACAATGGTGCTTTCACTACTAAATCAGCTTACACGTCTCTTCTTGTTACAGCCCCATCGAAGGATCGTGTCGTGTGGAGAGTTGTTTGGAGATGGGTTGGGCCGCAGAGGGATCGTCAAATTCTTTGGCTCGCTGTTCAAGAAAAATTGTTAACGAACGTAGAGAGGCATCGGCGACACATAGCGGCGTCACCTTTATGCCCTTTATGTGACCAACAGGTTGAATCGACCTTGCATTGTCTTTGTGATTGTGCGGGCGCCACGCAATTGTGGAAGACCTTGCTCCCACCCACACACCATCTTGTGTTCTTTACTTTGCCTTTACGTGAGTGGATTGTCCAGAACTTGCAAAACGGTCTCCATTTTGGGGTCGCTGATTGGGAGACGACCTTTGGCATCACGATCTGGCAAGTTTGGCGGAGTCGTAATGAAAAAAAAATTTCTGACAAGGAATTTATTGTCGCTAACAAAATTCGAGATGTTCGCTCCTTTGTGCATGGGGTCCACCTCACGAAAACCGTTGAATCCCACCTGGGCGGCATGGGTTCGGGTAGAGGGGTTCATTTTATTCGTTGGATTGCTCCTAAGGCTGGCACGATTAAAATTAACACAGACGGCTCTCTTTTACCCTCAAGTGGGATGGCGTCTACCGGGGGCCTGGCCCGTGATTCTAATGGTCGCTGGTTAGGGGGGTTTGTAATGAATATTGGGTATTGCTCCATCACCGGAGCTGAGTTATGAGGCCTTTTTCACGGTTTGCTGTTAGCCTGGGAGCTGGGTTTCCGTCAGGTCCTGGTTGAAGTTGATAGCATGTGTGTGGTTCGGATGGTGACGGGGAATTCGACAGAGCAACTTGGTGTTCATGGTAGCCTGGTGCGGGCTATCAAGGAACTTCTTGGCCGTGAATGGATGACTGAGGCGACTCACTGCTACAGAGAGGCCAATTTTGCAGCCGACTGTTTGGCGACCCTAGCTCATCACTGTCCCAGTGGCTATCAACGGCTTTCTGATCCACCATCGGCAGTTAAACCGTGGCTACAGCATGACCTTGTTGGCATTGCTTATCCACGGAATATAATTGTCTAATGGTTCTTAGGCATTTTGCCTCCTTCTTTGTACCAAAAAAAAAATAATAATAATAATAATAATAATATTGCAAGAATTCAATTATTTTTATTTTTTTGTATTTAAAGTGAAAACTGACTTGACTAAGGTAAACAAAAGCTTATGAGCACCCACAATGCTTTGGGTCTCTTAGAAAAAAATTACATGCCACGTAGGAAATAGACCTAGTCTATAAAAAAATGTTTTCCAATGCAATTAAAAGTGGAACTAGTCTAGCTTATATGACAATAAAAAAAAAAAGAGACATAGTCTACACTTGAGTCTATTTTAGACTCAAGTGCAAACCCAAGCACTCATCATTTATTCCTCATTTAATTTTTCTTTTAATAAATAAAATATATTAAAGCATTTTTATTGGTTGTCATGTATGCTAGACCTAGTATTTTATTTTTGCATTGAATAGCTTTTGAGTTTCTTTACTTGAGTTTGTCCATGTCATTTAGGAGTTAAGTCTATTTACATGCCACATATGTAAAATTTAGTAGACTCTTGCAAAGGGTGGGTTATTTTTTTAAAAAAAAAATATAAAAATCTGTGGCAAAAAAAAAAAATAATTGTGGAAAAAAATCAAACGGACGGATTCTGAAAATACGTGTTTCTAATTAAAATTTTTAACCGAAACACGGATTTTCAGAATCCGTTTTTGTTTTACATTTTATTTTTTTTTTTTAAAATGAAAGTCGAAACTGTCGGTGGATTTTAATATTAATACTGGACAACGCGGATTACCAAAATCTGTGTTACGTTTAAAAAAAAAACGATAAACACGGATTGTGAGAATCCGTGTTTTGGTCAATATATACAACTGCATACTGCTCCCCCGACCACAAATCATTCATCAATCCGAAATTTTTTTCTTTTTTCTGTTCGATTTTTGAAGACAATCGGGGAAGAGGTTAGTTGTTATTTTAATGTAATGTAGTATTATGTTTTTATTGTTTATTAATGTTTAATTGAAGTATATTTGGTTAATTGAGTATTGTTTAGGAAATCTTGAATATTGGTTTAATCGTTGTGTTAAATGATTATAATTAGCTATTGTATTATGGGTTTTTGTTGTATGTTGAATATGTATCCGAATTGTTTATAA